TGTTGGGGGCAATATGCTGACTCTCTGTAAACCGCTTAGAGAGGCCTGAAAGGCCTATGAAGCGGTATATAAGTCTACTGCTATTGCTATATTGTGCAAAATCTTGCATACTTGTTGAAACAAAACTGTTTTACTCCATGCACATTCTTTTATAAAAGCTATGTATTATTCATTTAGAAGATTCTGCTATACTCCAACAAATATTATAATTCAAAACAATAGATATTCAATATGCTACTCAATGGGTCAACATGCATTTGATAACTGGAAATGTTTATGTCTAACTCAGTAGTGGGTTCCAGATCCCATTGCAACTGGTACAGTGCAACGGGGCCAGGCATCCACCACATGAATGTGTGCAGCATGTTTGTGCACGCACACAGTATGTGCATGCATATTTACCGCTCACAATGCTCCAGCTGCTCGACAGAGCATCACGCAGGCGCCGTACGCTCCATGTGCGACAGCCCTGAACAGCTCAAATACTGGTAAGGAGCATGGGCGAGCAGGTGGGCCCTCTGGAGCACCAGAACGGTACCTGGTGCTCCCGGCAGGCACCAGTATGCCTGGTCGTAACCCACCACTGGTCTAACTTTTAAAATGTACCTGTGGCCCATATAGGAGAATTCGCAGTGTAATGTCCACTCCATGGTTCTTGTGCTGTCATTAAACCACACCTTCCAAAGGGTAATCCTTCATAGTAACTAGCTACCAAATTCCAAGCAAGAGTGCTAAGAACAAGGAATAAGAGAAACAAAGGAAATTATTAATTATATTCCACTATTCGTAAACCAAAATCTTCCAAGTGATTTTACAAGAGATAGCAGCAATCATTAATAAAATCTCAATAAATAAATATATGAATAAATGGAGATGGTTACCAAAGGTGAAAATATTGACACAGACTAAGCTTAGAGAGGTATTTATCTGCCTGCCTTTCACTCTCTTCTGAAACTTTTCACTTGATGGTAATAGCCCAAAAAATCGAAAGGAAGGACTTCACAGAGGTTTAGACAATTAAGTGGCCAAGCAAACATCCACCTATTTAATTCATCCCAAGAGCTACTATATGTTGATCGATCAAGCACAACATAAGTATTTACCAAGTCATATATTAAGAAGCACTCTCACGGGGGAATATCTGCAGTATAAATGTTCTTGTTATGAACAATTGGGGGGGGGGGGGGATAGTTGGTCCAAGTTTCATGCACATAATTATTTCACTTGCTAAAATGAAATAATTTTAGTAAATGAAATAACCCAATTGTCACTGCCAAAAGAATTAAGCAAGGTTTTCACAATATTATTTGATAAAGATTATTGTCATGAAATACACTTTTATATCACCAGATGTATCGATACATACGCAGTCATGTTCCCATTTACATAATTTTGATTCAGGATTCGAGCCCAGCAACCAGTACCCTCTTCATTGTTGAAAGTACTGTAATCTTCAGAAGACCAGAGTTTCTTTTGGGTTAATTGAGCACTTTTCACTGTTGTTGTCCCTGGGTAGTGAGCCCTAGACAGGGAAAAATTTATACGTTTTAACTCCAATGTATATGCATTTCATTAAGTAACATTCTAGAAAAGTATGGAGGGCATGGTGTCTTTTCTAATAACGGTATTTCCTCAGGGCTTCAATTTTTGATGATTATATGGAAAATTGAGAATCTCAACTAGTCTTAAATTACTCATAGCTCTTTCAAGGGCACTTCAGCAATCTCTTTGATCCCATCTATTCTCCTCAGCATTTACTTTTACAGCAATAATAAATCCATGACATAGAAAATAAAAGTGTTCATGCGTGAATTCAGGAATAACATTTAAAGGCTACCATTTACAATGTGAACACTCAGCATTTATCCAGCATTTTAAAAGTCAGAAATGTTTGAAAAAACCAAAAGAATAAATCAGTATGATAATCCCTGGATTGCAGTTGGCAAGTCTTAGCCTCAGTTTTCTTCATGGCTGTCTGGTAAGATCAAAGGAAAGACAGGATTTTTAAAAAGGATTTCCAGGGTTTCACTTATGTAGGGTTTTTACAGTGAATCATCTGGATGGTCCTTAGAACTGAGGTTACACGTGTAAGTAGAAACTGCAGCAATCTG